TAATTTCTGAAAGTTTCATTGAATACATTCCAGCATTTCATAAGATTTTAGCTAAATAAATAAAAAAACGTTGACTCCAAAATAATAATAAGGCTAAAATATTAAAGAAAGATTGTGAAAATAATTAGCACTTACAGTATGCGCTGCAGTGGCTCTCAGCTACAACAGGACAAGTTTTAGGCCAATATTTGTAATTCTGACTAAAATAAAGCCATGATGGTGTTTCCTGAGGTCAGTTTGCTCTGGCAGCCATCTTTAATTGGCTTGGCTCTTAAAGGTAATCATTTGGAGAATTCTTAAAGCTTCACTCCAAATACTTACTGGCAATATTTTAAACAAAGATCTTGTAGAATATGTTACTATGTTTTAGCTCTATATCTGTAAAAGTGCCTGAGTTATTGACATTTGTGTATTAAGGTCAGCTGGCTGTGGCAGCCATCTTAAAACAAGCTGACTCAAGAAGTTAATCCGTTGAAAATGTTCATCAAATGATGATTTTCAGAATGTTTCATAGACATATCTCATGAGATATTTTGATAGCAGACAGACACGGATAAAGACATCATCGCCCGTCTTTGCGTTTTGCATTTAAAGAGCTCCCTGCATCACTGATGGGTAGATTTAGTGTCTTCACGGGAGTTTTCTGCACTGGCTGCTGCTCTGCTTCACCAAATCATCATAAGCTGCGAAAAACATTAACCTCAGGCTTGATGTGAGCAATGTACGCCAGGACTTCATTTCCTCCACACATCCTGCTGCACTCATCAGTTTTATATAGAACACACGGCTCCAGAGTCAACATGGGTAAAAATGAACCGGTACATGATAATGATGTTCCCTGACCTCGTTTAGACAGTCAGCATCATCCATCATGTCGACGTGTCTTACACTCCGTCATGTTTCGCTGCTGTGCTTTAACAAACCGCACACTTGAAGAAAGAAAATTTTAAAAAGCTGAATTTATTTAAAAGGTACTTATTACAATGACCTTTTTCCCTCACATTGATCGTTAACATTCAATTGCCACGTGAGCTTAATTATCAACCCCAAAAAACTGTGACTGAATAAAGATAAACAGCTGATTCACTCTTAAATTTGAACTTACAAGATTTTACACTTGTATGATTTTTGCCATACAGTAGTCCCTCACTACTTTGCGGTTCATATTTCGTGGTGTTCCAACGATTGTCAACTACCGGTGCTACCGGTATACCGGTACTCACATGATTGGGACAGTAAGGGATAAAAAGTTAAAGAAAGAAAAAACTTCGGACAGGCGCCGTCATTTTGTACTTTTCTTTCAATAAGCCTAAACTGTAACACCGGTCAAAAAGAACTACACTACCCAGAAGCCAACAGTGCACTACCCAGAAGTCAACAGTACTTCCGGCCACTGCTTTCTGCCAAAATGGAGGGAAAGCTTAGCTACGCAAATCTACACTATCTATTAAACTCACAGAACTGGCAAGAAATTTGCAAATAATCCTGAAACTGAACTCATCCTTCAAGTTTTATCTTTACTGGTGAGTACCCATATAAACTTTGCAGTATTGTACAGTACATATACGTATACTGTTAAAATTACGAATATTGCAAGAGTATGGGAAGGGTTTATAAAACCTATACTAAAATAAATATAGCGTTCCTACTTCATGGTTTTTCACCTATCGCGGGGTTGTGTGGAACATAATTCCTTGTGCTAATCGAGGGAATACTGTATTTTCTTACCAGCTAGCTTATTGTAGCTCGAGTGTAACTCAAACTTCTGTGTTTCAGCAAATTCAGCCGAACACTTTGTTTACATTGAGTGCGTACCTGCATTTCAGAATTGCATATTTGGAAAACTACTGAAGTAAACTCATGCTACTGGAATAGAGTGGACTGAATCATTTCGTCTAGTTCGAGGTAACTTTTTTTATGTTTGGTTTCATATTTTTCAGTGAGTATCTTAAACTTAGTAATGTCAACTGGTTCCACTAAACTTGATTGGTGAACATTTTTTTTATTATTATTTCGACTGCTCCCTTCTTCAGGGATTGCCACAGCGCACTAACTTGCACGAAGACTTGGCAATTTTTTTTACGATGGATACGCAACCATAGACCACCGAGCTACCACAGCCCTCTGTGTGGAGTAGAGGGCTGCCATATAGGGCACCCAGCGGAGCAGATGGTGGGGGTTAAGGGCCTTGCTCAAGGGCCCAGGGTGGGGCAAATGAGGGTGGAGGCAGGTGTGAGTGTTTCACCTTTTCCACCCACATTTTGATGTTGTCGGCACAGGGAGTCGAACTGGCGACTTTCAGATCACATGCCGCCACCACCACTCCCCTCAGTTATTTAATAGTAAATAAAAAAATAAAAAACTGTATTTCCCCTAAATAAGCTCCTTTGGCGGGGTGCTCGTCTTAATTTTTTTTTGATGGGGGAAGACGGGACGGAGTCATGTCTTAGTTGCCCACCTGCTAGCTTAGCGCTACATTGCTATCTGTGTTTAGCGCTATGTTGCTGCCGGTAATTGTCGAGGGTGGGAACGGATAGCGGAGCGGTACATTAGTAGCATTTTTGATAGCACATTTGTATTGCGCCTACACTACATCAACTCCAACAGTTGTCGAATGTGTGTGTGCGTGTGTGTGTGTGTGTGGTGGTGGTGGTGGGGGGGTAGGCAGGACGCTCAGTTCGGTAGACGGGGCGGGGCACCCCGCTTGCATAATTGCAGGGGGAACAACAAATAAATAATTTGAAGCTTCAACTTCTCTCAATAAGACCTGGACTAAAACAGGTTAAAGCTACTAAAATAAATAAATAAAAGGCCTCAGGAGAAATGCACATGTGCAAGTACGGAAAGCACCATGGGACAATCTTTATTCAATCATGGGAAAGTTGAGATTTCACAAAAGTGGTTACATTGGATTTAATTAATTTGTTTGACTAGCTTAAATTAATGCTTTAATGCAACAAAACCTGCAGTAAAAAATAACAAATACACACCCAAGACACAAATTTCATTTTTTAGAGTGCAAGAAAAGGACATATGTGGGAAGCTCGGTGATGAAGCGCTTTTTATTTTTGCAACGTGGACCAAGAAGAAGCTGCTTGAACGTTCTGAGCGATATTTGTTGATACAACTGCAAGACAAATAGATGCCATCCATTGCTCAATTCCAGCAATGAAAATAAATGAAATTAACGAATAATCGTGGCTGTACTAAAAAAAAAAAAAAAAAAAAAAGAAATGAAACTGTTTATTTTTCTATCCTGCGTCTCGAGCACATGCAGGGAGGGAACATCTGCAAGCTTTCACTCCTCTGACTTTATATTGAAATGCTGCTTGGGAAATAAATCAGAGTCTGGATGCTGAACTCCCTTATGCCCAAAGAAAGAAAACAAGAAAATAAATCTTGTTTCACTGACGGCGAATCATACAGGAAGTTAGTCCCAGTTACACCGAAATCCTGTCGTGCCTACAGTAAGTTTCTCACTCACCGCTCAAAGGAAAAAGCGTAATTACGTTTTCACCTCTGCCTGAATTTGACCTAAAATGTATTGTGCTGGCTGCTCAGACTGATCCGCAACATTCTGAGGAATAACATCTTGCACAAGAGATTTGTTAAAAATTTACCATTACCTTTTTTTTTTTTGCAGTATGTCTATCTACAACTAATTACATTTTGGAGTCAATCCGGTTCAAAACACCCCTACAACTACTCGACATGAGCAAACACACAAATGGCTACAACTCAGTCACTATTAAAGGTACTGAGCTAAGACTCGATGTGGTAGTAGCTGAGAGTCATCCACAGCAAAGCTCTAAGCATGACGTCTGAAAAACAAAGACATAGATCACTGTTCTGCGTTTCATCATTTGATCCTAACGGAATTGGAACATGTCTTTTTCAGTAATGGGCCGTTAATTACCACGTAGGCCAGGCAACCTGTATTTAGTCATGTGACACAGAGGAAGCAGTGTCTGAGCTGCAGAATGAGAGAACGCTGCACATTAAATGGGTTAAATAAAACGCAGAACGCACCTGCATCCATCTGTCTGGATCAGTGCACGTCGACACAGAAGGCAGGAAATGAAAAACCTCCCCGTGGCCTACAACGACCCCGAAACCAATTTGTCACACTTGATTACTTTGCAGAATGGCTTTGCAATCCCACATCGCTGTCAAGGACCTCTTATCAGCAATAAAAGGAATTATGAGTTTATTATCGTGAATGTTGGCTCTGACAGAACCTGCACATCACCTGTGAGCATCTTTGAGTTGAGAACAATTTTTCACCAACTCGTCTGTTTGGTGAATAAAGACAATAAAACACAACAGTCCTTAATGGTAAAACTGGTAAATTACGTTGAAATGACAAAACAATAAAAATTTTCAAGCTCAAAAAACGCTCCAATGGATAATTTTAGGATCATAAACTGTCACAGAATTCACGCTGAACACTTTTTAACACAACACCTGTAAAGCCAGTTTCAGTGTGTGGACGAGTTGTGTCTGAACGAAAAGTTTGAACTCGGAACTGCTCGGATTGAACGATGGGAAATACTGAAAATAATCAAATAATTTATTTTTATTATTTAGTTTTGTTTTCCCCTTATCTGGTATAGAACATAACTTGTCCAAGGTTTGCAAAATATACAAAAGCAATAAAACAGAGTTATTATTATTGTTGTTGTTTTCAGCTATAAAAAAGGCAAATATAAAAAGGCAACTATTATTTTACCCGTTTGTGTGCAGGTGTCTGTTAGCAAAATATCTCATGAACTACTTGATCACTTTTGATGAAACTTTCTTATTGGATGGACGCCACAGCTAAATAAATGTCTATTTTACAGGTGCTGGGGTAGAGCATGGTGTGGTAGTAGCTGAGAGTGATCCACAAAGTGTGACGTCAAAACTCCGGCATGAATGGCGGCGGGTGATATGCATTCATCCTAGGAAAGCTGGACCTTTAATGTCTTCATTGTGTGTGAGAACTTGACCCATGAACTTACCGCTATGCGCGTGCACATCTTCTGCTCCCCGTCCGGGCCCTTCTGCTCCCTGCTGTAATCGGGAGGTTGCTGGTTCGATCCCCGGCCGCCTTTCGTCTTGCGGTTCCCGGGCCCCTGGTGCACGATGTTGAGCAGGTGGAGGGTGGTGTCGCGCTCGCGCACGGATATCTCGGGCTGGACCCTCTGGTAGCGGCTCTCGCAGGTGGAGTGGTGCCTCCTGCACAGCTCGATGCGCGCGCGCAGCCGCTCCACGATGGCGTTGTGCAGCTGGGGGACCGCGGAGCCCCTGGAGGTGGGGGCCCCCACCACCGCGGGTCCGCCGCCCACCCCACCGGCGGGCAGAGCCCCCAACCCGACACCCAGCATGGGCATGAAAGTCCCCGCGGCGGACTGAGCGGGGGTCGCCTCCCCCATCCCCACGGGAAGTTTAGAAAAGCTCAAATCCAAATAAAGCAGGTGAAGAACAAACAGCTCAAAGGCGAATTCTGTCAAACTGTTGGAAAATAAATACACGAAGAGGAACAAAGTTGCAGCATTGTGTTCCCGGGCTCGTGGGGGGGCTGATGTGTCAGCCTGTAATTAAACGGGGAACGATTCCCAAGCATGGGAGTCTCGCGCACTGAATCGGCTCCGAGGACAAACAGGCTGGAAGAAGCGGCGGCATCAGATCCGTCCGAACCGTGGCACGCACGCGAGGAGCTTCTCCAATCATCCGCGCCACATTCCGCACTCATTAAACAACCCCACAGGGTGTCACGAGATAATGGAGCCACACGAAATGAGGAGAATTTTTAAAAATAATCTCAAAACTTCCAAGACTCACGTTGTTTGAAAAATAAGTCCTCCTCTTTGTTTCTGCATCTCCAGCTACAGAGGAAGCTCTGAAGGAGAAAGGCAGGGAGCCGCTCTAGATCCGACCCAAGCAGCTCATTGACAGTCATTTGTCCGTGTGGTGGACCGAGGCAGCAGCGCAGCGACGGTACAGAGCCCCATTGTATGAGCATTCCTCCTCTGGCACGCGGGGCTCAAGGAAGCTGCCTTCACATGCGCCCTCTAGCGGAGAGAACATGGAACTGCCGCTAATGGAATGGCAGGGCACATCCGTATGGGGTGCCGTTTGTAAAGTTGCACAGTCAAAATTTAACATCAATATTTTGGTTTATTTAGCTTTTAATAAGAAAAAAAGTTTTTTTTCAAAGTCATATTTTTACCATGTTATTCATACATTTAAAAATGTCATAGTTCCCAACTAAATATTTAATTTACAAGACACATATTTAGTTTACAAACTAAGTACTTATCTTGCAAGTTAAAAATTTAGTTAGTAAACTAAATATTTATCTTGTAAATTAAATATTTAGTTTACCTAAATATTTAAACTAAATATTTTTGTTAAATACTTAGTTTACTACCTAAATATTTAATCTCTAAGCTAAACATTTAATTCCTAAACTAAACATTTCATTTGCTAACTAAATATTTAGCTCAGACCTAAATATTTAACTAACAAATTAAATATTTATCTGTTAAGTTAAATATTTAGCTAGCAAGTAAAATATTTAGGTCTGAGGTAAATATTTAGTTAGTAAATTAAACATTTATTTTTGGAAATTAAATATTTAGTTTGTAAAATATATATTTAGGTCCAAGCTAAATATTTAGTTAGCAAATTAAATATTTAGTTTAGGAATTAAAT